TGGGGCCCCAGCCCCGGAAGCAGGAGGAGAGCGGGGACCAGATGACACCAAGCAACTGAGTACAGCCCGCCCCAGCCCCACAGCAGCCCCTCAGGAGTCACACTGACCCAGGACCTTGAGCACTGACAGCCCAGCCCAGCCCTGTCCTGCACCGTCCTGGCTTGAGCTGATGACAGATGGAAAGGGAAACTGAAGCCCATCTGAGGGTTCCTGGCAGGGCTGAGGTGGGGGCAGGAACCCCTTGAGGGTACTCCTGGCACTACTAGCCTCAGGGAAGGGGCCCTGCAGGAGCAGTCGAGGGCCATGCCTATCCCTAGAGCTGCATTTCAGGAGCCCCATGGGAGGCCCAGAGGATAGGGGATGGCTGTCATTCTTCTGCCAGGCTTGCTCAGGAATCCGTAGGCCCCGAACAGGAGACCCCGAGACCCAAGGACACCCCAACCCCTGAGAGGGTGGCCAAAGCTCACCCCGGACTCCACCAGGAAATGCAATACCTGGGCTAAAACAACCAGCTCAGCCATGGAAGAGCACTGAGTCCTCACTCTGTGTGAGGCACCGTGCTGGCCCCCATGGGGGTGGGAGAAGTCAGGGACAATGGGGGTGGAGGGAAAAGTAGGGGGACGGGCAGAAAGCACTAAAGCAGCTACCGTCCTCGGAGTCCCAGGTCCTCTCTTCACAAGCCACATGGGCTTCTCAGGAACCTCAGTCTCCATACCTGGAAAATGGAACCACCACCACCTGGTTCAGTGGGGTCGGAGCCAAGTGGTGCTGTTCTCATTGTTCAGGTGTGGAGTGGCATGGGATAAAGGGAAGCACATGAGGTGCACAGTGGAGGCTACGCCCAATCAGTGTTCCCTGTCTTCTTCCCCACCCCTGGAAACCTATGGTTGTGGAGGGGGTGCCAATCTGAGGGGTAGGGGTGACAGCAGGCATCACGGCAGAGGCAGCATTTGAGGGGGGCCTAAAACCTAATGTGGAGGTTGAGTAGAAAGTATTCAAGAGAAGAAACCCAAGCAAGAACAAAGACAGGGACGAGGGATGCAGAGACTGTGTGTGTGTGTGTGTGTGTGTGTGTGTGTGTGTGTGTCTATATCTGCATGCATGTATGTGTGTATACAGCCATGCATGAGCATGTGTGTATGTCTGTGTGTGTTTGTGTGTGAATGCATGTGTGGGTGTGTGAGTGTGCATGTGTGCATGAACATGTGTGTACATGAGTGTCTCTGTGTGTGTGAATGTATGTATGGGTGTGTGTGTGCATGTGTGTGTCTGTGTGTGCAATGTGTGTGTACATGTACGTGCATGTGTATCAGTGTGTGCTGGGGTGGATCATGTGACTATGAGTGTGTGTGGCCAAGTGACTGCTCTGGCCCCCTCCAGGGCACTGTGAGGAAGGGTGAGTAATAAGTGCCAGGATGCCTGGATAGCCGGGCACTGACCTGCCCTCCCTAGACTCCAGGGCATCCTGAAATCTGGCAGGGATGGCAAGCAGGAGGGACCCCCAAAGGCCATCTGAATCCCCAGGCTCTGTGGCGGCCAGGGTTGGGCCTGCCCAGACCACAAGGCCTGGGATTAGGAGATTAAATCCAGGGTGAGGAGGCTTTAGAGAGGCAGCAGCCCCTCCTACTCAGATTCCAGCAACCCCAGCCTCTGAGTCCCACATCCAAGTCCCACATCCACACATCCGGATCAATCTCAACACTTCGCTAGGCCTGTAGGAGGCCGAAGCTGGCAGGATGGGCTGGTGAGGAGCAGGAGAGGTCAGGAGACTCAGCCTCCACTGACTGCTGACCTTGACTGTGCCCTCTGCCCCACAGCACAACTGAAGCACATGGGCCAAGCCAAGCCGGCTGTTCCCTGGGTTCTCCAGGCCCTGGGGGTGGGGGCACTGGGGTGGTGAGAGGCCAGCCAGGCTGAGGGTGGGGATCCCAGTGGGCCTCAGGAGCTAAAGAGCAAGCTGGCTTCATCAGGTGGGGCCACTGTGCCCCTGTCTCTGCTCAGGTGCCATGCCAAAGGACTGGGATGCCAAGCTGGGATCCCAAATCCTCCTGTGGCAGGGATGGGCCTGTGGCCGGAGGCCACCACCTAAGGGGCAGAACCCAGCAAGGACACAGGCCCCACACTGCCTGGCTGTGTCCCTGGGTACCCTGGCCACCCATGGACAGGTTTGGGGCAGGGTGTAGCCCAGCCCCTCAGGGTTCTCAGAGATGCTCCTGGGCATGGAGTGGGTGATGGGCAGTGGGAGGTGACACCTTGAGCCCCTTTGGCCACCCATATTGGGGGTGGTGAGCCACATCTTTTGGGCCTAAGAACGCTGAAAGTGGCAATGTCCTAGAGAGGTCCCTGGACTCTGTAGGCAGATGACCACACGCTCATCCTACCAATCACAGCCACCCGGGGACCTAGGCCCCACCACTCTCCACCCGTGGTGGCAGCTCAGGCCCCTCCCAGCTCACTGATAGAGGTGCACGGATGGTCTCAGGCCTGACAGGATTGGCCAGGTGGACATGTGCAGGGCTCAGTCAATCCTAATAGCCTAATGCTGGTAGCCCCTCCATAGACCCCAATCCAGTAGGACCAGGGCTCTGTGGGAACGTCTCCCCTCCCGCCCCTGTCAACCCAGCTCACCGGCTTCGGCTGACCCAGCTGAGTGGCCTGAAGAGATGCCCTCAGTCTCCTCCAGCGCCTCCTCCTGAGGCTACGTAGCCCACGTCTCCCCCTCCACCCTCCACAAATCCCACGGGAGGACTGCCCTACCTTACTCCCAAAGAACACGGTGGGCCCAAGGTCAGCAGTCATGACATCAGTGAGGACTGCAGGGCACAGGCTGGGCGGCCGGGCAGTGGCCGTAGTTTAAATCCCAGTCCAGCCAAGCATCAGCCCTGGGCTTTGGGCAGAACTCCAGACTCCACCTGTTTGTGACTGACCAGCCAGAGCCCCAGACGGGGCAGTCTGTGGGACATTCCAGTGGGGAAGGGGGAAAGGAGGCACCCAGGGGGGCAGCATCTGGCAGGGAGCAGGGCTGGCACACAGCAGACATCTTGCAGGTCCTCACCACAGGGACCTCCCTGGGTCTGGGCTGGGAACCCTGCCTTGACACCTGATTCCAGCCTCTGTCTGCCCTGTGGATCTGCCCAGGGAGGACACCTGCAGGGCCTCAGATCCATCTGCAGCCGGAGTGAAGCTGTTCATCTGGGCCCTGCCTTGGACCCAGTGCCCTCCCGAGACTTCACCCCAGGTAAAGGCTGCCCTCTCCCGACCCCACGCTGGGCCCCTCAGCCAGCTGCCTTACAGCATTTCTGGTCCAGAGGGTTCCTGGGTCTTGACTCCAACTACCCCATCAACCAAACAAGGAACCCCTCTAAATAGACAGTGTGTGTTCAATGCAAGGGCAGACCTGAGCCCTGGCTCTGGCCCATCTCACACCCTGCACTGCAAGCGCCACACCTGCCCCACTCCTGACTGGCCCACTCCACAGCCTGGCTAAGGCTGGTGGCCAACCACACCTGCAAAATGGCCGCCGCAGGTGCAGCCCCAACCCCCACGTGGACCCCAGAGCTTCCCTTCAAACCCTCTGCTGCCTTCTCAGACCACAAGGGTGCTGGCATGGCTTCCTTGGCAAAGGCCCCGCCAGCCTGAGTGCGACAGGATGTCCCGCAGAGCCGAGCACGGTGTCGCGCAGTGCGTCCCCAGGGTGAGGCCAGTACCAGCTCTGCGCGGCAGGGGCCTCTCCGAACCGCCTCCTCTCCGCAGCCGCAAGATCCAATCCGCTTGCCCAGGCAGGCCTTTAATCCCAGCAATGCAGGCACCCCTTGGAAAGGGCCGCTGCCTGGGGAGGGGGTCCTCCAGTCTCTGGGGAAAAGTCCCTATTCCTGGGGACGTGGGCGCGCATCGGGTCCGCGCCGGGCGACGTCGCGCTCGCGCCCAGCAGGCCTCATGACTTGGCATTCCCTCCTTCCCCTCCCCCTCCCGCCCCTGCGGCCGGCAGTGCCCCCCAGCCCCACCTCCCCGCGCCCAGCGCCCCGCTCCTGCGGACCCTCCCTCCCGGCGGGGATGCTGCCCGGCCCTTCCCCAGCGAGAGGGCTGGGCCGCTGGTTTGCGGGGAGTCGGCGTGAGGGGCAGCTTAAAGCGGGAGTGCGAAGGTCTTCGCGGCCACTGTTCCTTCGTGTCATCCGAGCCCGGGCGCCGGGGGCGCGCCACCATCCCAGACCCGGCGGCCCCGCAGCCCCTCCCTCGCCGCCGGGCCACACCTGTTACAGGGGCGCTGGCGGCTGAGACGCAGGCAGTGCTTGCCGGCAGCCCCTCCCAAGTGCTGGGTCTTTCTGGAAGGGAGCTGGGGTCTCTGGCGTGGGAGGGGGTGATGGGCAGCCCGGCGGTGCAAGGACGCGGGTGGCCAGGCCCCAGCGCCGCAGACCCCGCCCCGCCTGCCTGTTTTGCTCCAGGCTCCAGGATCCACCCTCCCCCACCCCGGGGACCCGAGCAGCTGCCCGCGCCCGGCAGCCCTGCGCGCTCTCCCCTCGGGCCGAAGCGCTGCAGCCGCGCACCCTCCCAGGTGCGGCATCCGCGTCCTCAGCCCCGCTCTCCATCCCTCCCCTCCCCCGCCGTCTGGGCGCAGCCCCTCCCGCAGCCCCGCAGGTGGCTCCTCTCCAGGAGAGCGGAATAGCCGGGGAAAGGCGGGGGTATCCCGATCCCGCCGGCCGGGTGAGCCCTCCAGAGGGCGACCCCCGCCCGCTGCAGCTGAGATCGCGGCAAAGGGACCTTCTCCAGCGGCACCTGAAGGGCGGACACCCCTGAATTTCCCCCATTGTTCTCTGCGGAGATGGAGGAAGGTCTGGAAGGGAAGGGGCCTCACAGTGCCCGCGCTTCGGGTCGCAACAAGGGCGCAGGGCCGGAGCTCCCCGCCCTGGGCGCAGTGGGTGCAGGTGCGGGCTGCGGGCGCGGGCTGCGGGGCGCAGATGCGGGGCGAGGGGCGCGGGAGGCCGGGCGGGCGCCTGCCTTACCTCTCCGGCGTCACTAGCAGCGGCCCCGCATGGGCACTGGCATGGGCGCGGGCTCCCGAGCCCGGAGCTGCTGCCGCTCGCCGGCTGCTCTGAGCTGTGACGGCGCCGCCGCGTGACGGGCTGCGCGCCCCCGGCCCGGCCCGCCCAGCGCCCCTCCCAGGGCGCTGGTTGGCTGCGCGCGGCGTCCGAGCTCCAGTCGCCAGCTGGTTTGTCGCGCGGGGAGAGGGACGGGCGACGCGGCCGCCGCGGGGACTGGGCTGGGGACGGAGGGGGCCGGGGCCGGGCTGTGACGTCACCGCTGACACCGCGGCGGGCCCCGCGGAGGGTGGGGGACGGACACCCGGCTCGGACGCGGCGTCCCCTCCCCCGGCGCGCCCCTGAGACCTCGCGGGGGAGGGATCCGGCGACGCCCCGTCCCGAAGCCCCGCGTGCACCTGAACTTGCCCGCGGACCCTTCGCCGGGCCCTCCCCCACCCTGGCCCCTTTCGAGTGAAATCGTAAAACCTCCACCTGCCCCCGCTCGGAGCCAGCGACAGACGCATCGTGGGGGGCGGGCGGGGCTGGGGAGGGAGGGCTCCTTGCGCCAGGGATGCTGGCTCTGGGTGTAACAGGTGCGCGGTGAAATCGCATCTTGCGTCGGGGCCGGGGCGCCAGGGAAGAGCAGCAGTGACCGAGGCCCTCCCCGCGGGATGATGCAACCAGCCCGTGGACCCGCCGCCTCGCCTCCGCCGCGGCTCGTGGGGACCCCCGCCCTCCTCTCGCCCCACCTCTCCAGGCCCCCATTGTCCTCACCCCAGCCTGTCCAGTTTAACTTCCTTGAACCCCCAAGTCACACGCCGCTCGCAGGCCACCCCGGCAAACCCCAGCCTGCGTCACCCGCCCCCAGCCGCGTTCCTAGTTCCAGGGGCTGACTGGTATCTCCGTGCGCGCCACCGCCCTCCCTCCACCGTCCCAGGGCTGGGCAACTTCGACAAAGCCTCTGGGCAGCTCGCCCACGGGGACCTCCCCGCATTGCGGTGCGGGGGTGCACGGACTTCGGGCCACCCTGAACCCCGGGGCTGCGTCCCCTGCAGCCCAGCCCCTGCCATCGAGCCACTGCCATGGGCATCCTGGCGTCGCCTGGCTAAGCCTCCCTGGCGGCCAGCGGCGGCCTGCGCTGCCCTAGCGGCCTGGCCGTTAACCATTTAATCCACACTCCAGGGAGAGCCGGCTTCACCTCAGTCCCCACAGCTGCGTGCAAGCGCCTTGCAGGTGGCAGGGAGAGATTCGCATCCACTTCTGCAAGAAACGGGCCCCCCGCTCCCAGCCCCAGCCCCGCCGAAACCAGCTAGACAGCTCCTCCTCCTTCACTGTTTCCTGGAACCACCGGCATGAAAGAGAAATCAATTGTTCTTCCCAACATTGGCAGAAACAATAAAACCATCTGGGCTTCTGGGGCTGGGGTCTTTATCACCGCCGTTTTCCTCGTGGTTTTTAATCTGGCAAGCTCTCTATTTCTCGAGGCAATTGACATTTTTCTAGGAATTAATCTATTTCACGTTAATATTTAGCATTATCTTTTTTTCTTTATATTCTGGCTTTTTACGGTTTGGTGGTGGTGGTGGTGGTGTTGACAAGGTCTTGCTCTGTCTCCCAGGTTCGAGTGCAGTGGTGCCATCTTGGTTCACTGCAGCCTCAACCTCCCCAGCTCAAGCATTCCTCCCACCTCAGCCTCCCTAGTAGCTGGAACTACAGGTGAGTGCCACCACACCCAGCTAATGTTTGCATTTTTTGTAGAGAAGATTTTGCCATGTTGCCCAGGCTGGTCTCAAACTCCTGAGGTGAAGTCATCCACCCGCCTTGGCATCCCAAAATGCTGGGATTGCCAGCTTGCACTTAGCCTGTATTTTGTTTTTGACATTTTTCTCTTTTAATATTTTTAAATATTTTCAGAGCTCTAACTTTCAGTTCTGTTAAACGTCTTTCCTGTTATTTCATTTGCTTCTGTCCTTCTGTATTCTTTCTTTCCCTTGTGGTTCTTTGGATTCGATCTGTTCCTCCGTCTTGAACTAAATGCTTAGCTCCTTTTTAAGCCTCCTAATTTTCCAATAGATCTACTGTATTAAAAGCTACAAAATTCCTTCTACAAGACTGCCTTGGCTGAGTCTCACAAATGTGGACATAAAATGTTTTCATTATCATTAAGATCTAATATTTTCTACTGTCCCTGATGATCTCCTTTTAAACGCAGGGTTATTTAATAACATTATTTACTTTTCAATAGCATTTCTTTAATTATAACCTTTTGTTACCAGGTTCTAATTTAATCGCATTATTGTCAGAGAACAAGTCTGTATTCAGTCAAGATCCTGGCAGGAAGCAGATGGCACACTCAAATTGGGTAATTTGAGAAGTGTTTGATAAAGAGACTATTGACAAAGGTGTGGGCAGGAGGTCGGAGAGCCCCAAGGGCTTGGTGGCACTGCAGCCTTACTGCTGGCAGGGAGGGGGGCAGGCAGAAGCAGAGGCTCAGGTGGAGGGGTGCAGTCAGCCAGAGTTTCCCAGGAAGGGAGCCAGGGCAGCAAACCCTGGACCTCACTCTCCCTCCTCCTCTGATCTGGTAGTGCTTTGGCTGAACCCAAGGGGAAGCTGGAGGTCAGGGGCACCCAAGGAGTATGGTCCATTTCAGGTGGTCTCCTGAGTAATGGGCAAAGGGAACTTAGAAGCACAAACAGAAGCTAGCAGCCCAGTCTTCACGGCCTTGTGCCTCTGGGATTCATTGAACCTTCTTTAGGTTCCTAACACATAGTCTATTTCATACATGTTCTACATGTGTTCAAAATGGTTGTATTCTCTGCTTCATGGGCAGAGAGTTCTGTATATTATGTAACAGTTCAAAATTATTAATTGTTGACTCAGTAAGGTAAGATCCCGGAAAGAAAAGTTTTTTAAGGTTATTAATTGTATTGATCAGGATTTGGAGATTTCTGCTAATTTTTGTCAGTGTGAACTATGATTATTATTTTTAAAAATCTCCAGTTAGAATTGTTAAAATATCTGCTTCTCCCAGCAGTTCTGGCACATGCTGCTTGCTGCGTATTGAGGCCGTATTTTTAGATATTAGAATGATTTTGATAGACGTGCATTATCACTCTGTGGTTCTTTGCACCCATATACATGTGTGCCCTTCTTTGTCTGGTGTTCGCAGTTTTTTAAATTTTTTGCCTTAAATTTGAATATCATTAACATGTCAATCCAGTTTTCTTTGGTTCATATTTGCCTGCTATGTCTTTTGCCAAATTTTTTATTTTAAGCTTTTTGTATCTTTTTAAAGCATATCTCTTTTAGGCAACCCATTACTGAAATTTTAAAATCATATCTGTTTCTGCCTTTTAATTGGAATTTAACCCACTTACATTTATAGCAATTACTGTTATATCAAGACTAAGCTTTGCCACCTGTTCCCTGACTGCTCCTCATCAAAGACAGAGTCTGAGATACCAGTGCTGGCCCCTCCGTCCCACTCAACACCCTCCAAAGGGCAGCTTTATCAAGGACACCCATCAGCTCGATCGAAAGCTTCTGGGAAGGGGACTGCAGTCTGAGACTCTTCCTACCCAAGCCCCTTCTTTCCTGGTCTCTTTCGCAGGACTCAGACCTGCATCAGGATCTGAAGCTCTTCTGCCTGCACCTGCCCCCTCCCTTCCATCCTGCATAGGCTTCCTCCCAGTCACCCCTTGCCCCTCCTCTAATGCCACAGAGACATGGACTGACATGGATCCCCAGGAAGCATGTTTTTCTCTCCAGCTGGCATATTCCTTGGGCGTCGAGTGACTCTGGCCTGTGAGCACCCAATGGTGTCGGGACAGCAGCTGCTCTACTGGCAGCCTGCAGTGGGAAGACACAGAAACCAAGCCCATGCAGGGAGTGCAGGCTCCTTCCTGAAACCGATCACCACTCCTTGCTCCCCAGAGCCCACAGAGGAGGAGCCGCTTCCCTACCTTGTGCTGCATCATCCTGTGGCATCCGCGAGGAGGCTCTCCGGATAGCTCTTCATTGTCTCCAGCGCTGTCCCACCCAGGAGGACCTCGCAGCTTCCTAACAGTCCCTGTGATGGCTTCCTGTGGTCCAGGCCATCCCAAGACGGGCAGGAGACAGGACTAAACTGTGTCTCTCCTGCCGGTCCCCCTTACCTGGCTGCAGCCTCCACCCACTTCACAGACCTCATCTGTTTTTCCACTGGGAAAAGGCCCAGTGACAGAACATGTGGGGCCCCATGCGAAATGAAATAAAGGTGCCTTGTTCAAAAGCCCAGCAAAGTGCAGTTAAAGGTGCTAAAAATACAAACCTCTTCCTCCATTCCCCAGGCTCTCTTGATTAGCCATGGTGTTTTCTTGCTATTTAATGCCATTCTCAGTAAAGAAAAATTAAAATTTTAAATTGCTAGCATGAATTTTACTCTTCATCTTTCTATCGTAGAATGCCAGTTTTAAATGCAGATAGAAGAGCTTTCAACTCATACACCGAATCACTGAAATTACACAGCTCGTATTTCCTAGTTCATCTGTGTGTGTTTTCTGTTCTTACCAGAACAATGAAAACCATGCACATTACTCACTTGCCTGCTTCTATTTCACTTCTCGATGCTGGCACCAACACTCTCTGCCTCCTGCTTACTGATAAGGAAGGCGGGATGAAAGGAGAACTCTGGGTCTTCCTGTCTTTCCCTTTCCTTCCATGCCACCATTCCAGTGAAAGTGCTCGGCTAATCCAGGGAAGTAAAATGAGCAAGAAAAGATACAACGGGGTCCCACGTCCTTTGTGTTCCTTAGAATACCATTGCCCCCTTTCTGTATTTGGAACAAGTTCTGGTTCAAATGGAAAGCATGGCCTTTCTGGGCTGCCTCACGCCGCGCCCACTGGGCTGCAGGCATGACCTGGTCTACCCGGCACTGGAGTGAGTCTTGCTGAACCCCATGCCATGGCACTGTGAACACGAGATCTGGATGGGGCTGCAGAAGTGGGCAGAGATTTGTGCGTCTCCTCTGCACCTGCCTCAATATGCCGTCGGCACCACAAAACACAAAAGATGAAATTATTAAGGATCTTTGGCCAGCGGCAGCAGAGCATTAAGCCAAGAATGCGGGGCCACCTGCTCTGACGCAGCTCAC